TGCTAATATATCTTAAAAATTTCACGGTCATCAGCAACGGTATCTCAATTAGTTGTAAAATACATAAATCATTTACTTCTCTCTCAATAACACTTTTATTAATACTTAAAAACAAATAAGATCAATTATATCTTTCATCTAAGCTACTTCACATACAATGAGATACTTCATACACCATCAAATAGCACAACACACACGCACATCAAGCATTTTTGAATTATAAAAAAAAATTAATTAATTATTTTTTTTAAAAGAAAAATAAATTCTGCAATCATAAATAGTACATATATATATATATGTATATAATACAAGTTATTATTCAAAAAAAGAAACTAAACAATTTTCATAAAGCAGAATAGAAAAAAGACAAATGCACGATATGGTTTTTTTTTGTTTGTTTAAAAATGTTCGCGTGGTACGACTACATTAGCAATTGGCATATTTGAACGATTATTTACTGTTGAACCATGAGCTGAAAAGAAAATAATAAAATAAAATAAAAAACTTCGATTAATATTTTAATAGAATATTTACAAATTGATCGTTTTTTTTGATGATTTTTTGTTGCACGATTATTTGTTGTTGAATAAAATGGATCTAAAATATTAAATTAATTATATAAAAAGAAAAATAAATGGATGTATATTTTACCATTAAATATAGGTTCAGGAGAAAATGAATTTGTACGATGAAAATCATTTGGTCGACTTCGAGACATTACTGGATCATTGATTGTTACCGTTTTCTTTGGTTTAACACCGGTTATTTCAAGACCAAATGCACTAGCAGTATTTTCTTTCGATGCAGTAGGTTCATTAGAAAATGCTGAACCTATATATTTTATAATTGAAAACAAAAATTTGTATTCTTTTTTTTTTTTTTTTGAAATATATTTTACCTATATCTTCCATTAATTCTTTATGATGAAGATTAGCTCTTCTTTGTGCTGCTCTTGCAGCAATATCTTGTGTTTGTTTTCTTAGTTTAGCTTTATTTTTAACATTATTATTTGAAAAGAATGTTGATGGTTCAACTGAAGAGTCATTTGGTGGTGATGTTGTATGAACTTTACGATTTGCTGCACCACCGCCGCCGCCAGTTGTCATGTCATTTGTATTTATTGGTACATCAACACTTTCAGAACTTAAACTAATAAGAGAATTTCCTTTTGTTAATTGTGGTTTTAATGATTGTTCAAAATTAAAATGAGAATATGACATTGGTTTATTTGTTGTTGAATCTTGTCCTAAATCATTATTAACATGAGTAAAAAGATCTTGATCAGATAAAGTACGATTTGAAATTATTGTTGATAATTGATGATTATTACGTCGATTAACATTATTTGGTAAATGAAAACTAGTTACGGATGTTGATGCACTTGTTAAATCTTCTTCAGCTATTTGAGATAGAAATGGTAATGCTGATGGTTTACCATTAATACCTGTTACGGAACGTGGAGAATGATCTAAACATATTGTTAATATAAAATGTATGAAATTAAATAAAAAACAAAAAAAATATATATATATACTTTTAAGATCTTGAATAAGTTGACCTTCATCAATATCTCGTGAATAAAGTTGATAAAGTTCTTCAAGATCAATTGGAACCAAAATTTGATGTTCTAGAGCAAAAAAATAAAATTCGTTTTTTTTTTTGTAGAATTAAAATTTTCCAGAGTATTCTTAGACATGCATTAATAATTCAAATCAAATTTCACTTCATATGTAAAAAATATATATATTTTTCGTATATATCTCATTACATTAAAATAAATCTTCTTGAGTACATCTACATATATTATTCCTTTTTTTTTCTTGTATAAACTTTCTTTTGTTGATTTTTTTGCTTTATGAATATTCGAATTGATACATGTTTTTTTTTGTACACTCATAATTAAAACCAAAAAAAGCAAAAAGATATTTTTTTAATTTTTACCTTGAATAAGTCGTCTTTGTTGATAAATTAATGTATCACATAAACTTCGATGTTGTGACATACGTAATAATTGTAAATCTTTATGTTTAATAGAATAATCACGAGCAAATATATCAGCTTGTAATTCAATAGTTTTCATTTCATATTCAAAATTTTGTGATAATAATTTTAATAATTCACGTTGTTCTTGAGTATTCATCTTTTTTGTTACTTTCTATATATAATAACATAAAGAAAATTTCTTTTTTGTTTTGTTTTTTTGAAAGTCTTTTTTTTTCTTACTTCAAGCAAACGACGTGCATCAGATTTAGATGTTTCAAAGTCTTTTAATTGAATTTTACGTTGTTTTTCTAATTTTGATCGTTCTTGTTCAAGTACACGTAATTCTGCACGAGCTCTTTGTGCTGTATTTTCTGATACTATTGTATCAACAGTAATTTCTTCAGGAGATTTTTTACTATTTTCTTTATTTGATTCATGACTAAACAAATAATAACAAAAATGATTTTCGTTTTTGTCTTTTTTTTAAAATCATTTTCATAATTTATTTAATCCTACTGTTCAATAACTGATTCATTACGTGTACATTCATGGATTACATCCATAAGACCACTATCAATTTCTAATAATGCTCGTCGAGCACCAATTTGTTTACGATAAGTTTGAAGAATATTTTCTTTTAATTTTAAACCTTCTTCAACACGAAGACGTTCAGTTGTATTACTATCTATTTAATAAAATAAAATAATATACAAATATAATTATTTTTGTCTAATAAGATTAAAAAAAAACTCAGACATGTTAATTGACCTCGAAAACTATTTTTATGACTTTTTCTAAAGAACTGAAAAAAGCAGGAGGTTTCCATAGACATATGTTCACCTCGATGAATGTACGTCACATCCGAAGAGTGAGAATATAATTAAAAAGTATGAGTGTGTTGAAGAGAAATCAAACAAAGACCAGGTATTTTCCAAAAAGCAAAGTTTATAAGTACCTTTTTTTGCTATTATTTTGAATTTTAGAATTAATTTTCTTTAGATATTAATTGATAAGGAAAAATTGTCGAATCGATTTCAAAAAAAACCGAACGTGTATTTAATAAAACTTTGAATGATTTTAAACATACCACTAAGTCGACTAAATCGAGCTTCATTTGTTGTTGTTAAGCGTATTTCAAGTTCATCTTTTTGATCACGTAACAATTGAACTTGGCTACGTAAATCTTGTATTATTTGCTGATATTGTGCTATATGATAAGATACATCAATAACATTTCGACGTATCTATATGTTACAAAAAAAAAAAAGAAAAGTATTTATTAATTATTTAAGATAAATAAATCAACAAACTTTTGTTTTAATATATTTTGCACGATCAGCATAATTAAGTGTATTACGTGATTCTTCAAAATGTACTGATGCAGGTGAAATATGTGCAATCATAACTGTACGAGAATTTCCTCCAAGAGAATCTTTTAATATCCGTGTTAATTTACTATCACGATAGTTAACATATTTTGTATTTCCTTTTTCACCTATATTTTAATTAATGAATTTATTATATTTTAGATTATTATAAGAAAATATTAAACTTACTTAAAGCATTGATACAATTACCCAAAGCAAGTAATGAACGATTAATATGAGCACCTTGAGAAAAATAATAGAACGATTTCTTTTTTTTTTAATTTCTTAAATCTAAATTATTCATTTGTTTTCTATTTATTTTCATAATAAAAATAGAATTTGATTTCTTTTGTTTTTCTATTGATTTTTAATTAAACATAAAAATAAATTATCCTTAGCAAAAGAAAAAATATTATGTTTTTTTTTGCTTTCTTATTGTCTGTCTTAAAAACAACTAATATTTATAAGGTTTCAAAATAATTTCATACCTTCCATCATTCGTCTACCAGTATTTTGAGTTTGTGCTGCACGTTCCGATCCAGCTAAATCAATCATATAAAGTTTTGCTTGAAAAATAAAATTAAAACAAAAATTTTTTTTTAATTTTAAAATAAAAATAATTTAAATTAATTTTACCAAATCGAACTTGTTCCGTATGTGATCGAGTAACATCACGCTGTTTAATATTAACTTGTAACACAGCATGTGATCGTGATGATGTTTTATTAGCTTTTGTTGGTTCTTGTGTACGTGCACGATTTCCTTTATGTAACATTTCCATAACTTCTTCAGGTGTTTTAGTAATAAGTTCACTAAGACCAGCAACTTGTATTGTACCTTTAGCATCTTCACGTAATTCAAGAAATGAAGATGATGGTGCAAGTAAATCACGTATTAATTCATTATAAATTTCTAAATAAGACATTGATACTTGATATTCTCGTTGACCTTCAAATTTTTTTATTTCAACAAATAAATCATGTAATGTTCGATACATAATACCAGGATTATTTTCTGTTCCTAACATAGTATAAGTTTTACCAGCACCTAAATTTAACCATGAAGAAAAAAAGAAAATTAATTTCTCTATTCATATTCAAATTTTTTCATTTTTTTTTGTATTTACCTGTTGCTCCATAAGCAAATACAGTTGCATTATAACCTTCTAAAACACTACCCAAAAGAATTTTTGCTGTTGATGCATATACATCTTGTTGTCCAGCACGTGCATCAGATACAACATCAAACATATATTTACGTTCGCGTGATCGATTTGCACGTAAAATATCATCATGATCTTCATCTGGATCAAGTAAAACAACCATCTAGGAATCAATATGATATTAAGAAAAAAAAACAATAATAAATTAATAATACATACATTGTCTTCAGCTACTTTATGAGCAATAATAGTACCACCTTGAAGAATTTCATCTTCTGTCATTGGTCGAATACGGCAAGCGACCTTGATAAAAACAAAAGAATCAATTAATATGACGGAAGAAAAAAAACTTTTATTTTTAAAATACTTACAAGAATCTGTTGCTCACCAGTTGGTAATACGAGTAAAGGCGTTCCAGTACCTCCATTTTCTTTCAATACATTAGTCATTATGTAATCGGATATATTAACTATCCTGTATCTAATATCATGTGCAGAAAAAGAAAAAGTTTCTTATTCTAAAACAAAAAAAAAAAAAACAAGATGAAGCAAGATATTACATTTTGTTTTTTGTTTCGTAGGAGTTTATCGATATTAATTAAATCTCTATATCAATTGATAATCTTTATATATATATATATATCGATAGATGGAATAGATATGTACTTATGAACCTTCTATGTTTTCATAATAAAATGTTGATGATGATCATGCTTGGCATGAACTTGAAATCTGTTCTGATGTACTCTTTCACATACTTTCTAGTTTACGATTCTTACCTTATCTTCTTCTCTTTTGTTCCGTTCGGTTCTGAGGAAGCATAGAGCAAAAGAGAAAATGAAAAAAAAAAAGAAAAATAGAGCGCAAGAGAACTTTCTTTCAACCCAAACAAATGCACACACGGAAAAACAATTAAATTGAAAAAAAAAACGAGAAGAAATGAAAGAAAAAAAAGAAAAAAAATGCTATTGCCATATTCTTTTTTTTTCCTTCTAACATCAGAACCGCTATTATTGCATCGTTGGAAAATTGAAGAAAAAAAATATATAAAAGAGAATTTTGTAATGTGTTTATTGTCACCTTCTTGTCGTTATCGATGTCGGCAACATTAAAAGAAGAAAAAAAAAATTGAGAGGAGGACAGCCGACGTCTGGCTCTAGCAGCAACAACGATTTTGATTACATCTTAATTCGAAACAAATAGAAAAGAATTTCTATGGATTCGTATGTTGTGTGTTGACTATTACCGTGTCAATGTTTTTTCTCTTATGACAAGTGAAAATCATCCTTTAAAAAAAAACAAGTACATAAATTTGATCAGCTTTATAAACAATCGACATACAAGTTTCTTCTACATTCAATGTTTTTTTTTTTCGTTTGTTTTTTTTTTCTTGTCTTGTATACTCATTGCAGTATTATTAAAATCATAGATTTCTTAAAATAAAATAAAAAAAGAATTTGATTGATCATACTCATGAATGTTTATTGACAATGAAAACGTATGAAGAAAATAAAACTCATTTTATATATGATGTTAGTAATTATGAATATATTGTGTACTATATCAAACAAAAAAAAATAGAAACCCTAATAAATATTCTCGTTTGTCAACACATATATGATGATCGAACATCTCTGGCCATATTCTTAATTATAAATAATTTCAAACGTTAAGGGCAAATCAGTGCGATGAAGAGAAAAAAATAACATAACATCTAATAAGATCTTCTTGAAAAAGAAATAATTTAATTTTTTTAATAAAAATGATGAGAAACCAGAAAAAAAATCATATTGAACAAGAGTTGATGTCGCATAAATCTTCTTGAATATAAATTAACTATGAAATAACTTAGAAAAGATAATCAAATGATTAATTCAACGATTAAAAAACAAAAAAAAAAAATATAATAGAAAACATTACTATTCGTCATACCATATGACGAGAGATGTAAGCCAATGAACTGAACTGTTATTGGTAGCTGTCAAAATTTTTGAAATATTCAAGTCATGACTACCGGAATAAAAACATAAATAATTGAATTTTGAAAAAAATTTCGAATCATTGAAACATTTTTTCCAAAGTAGCTGTATCTAGCTTTGCATCAATATGTTCTCTATGAGTGTTTTCTACTTGAAAACTTCTCGGAACCAAGAAAATTAAAAAAATAACCCTTCAAAGCTTTTAGTTGATGTTGTTGAGGCTTGAGACATTCTTATGTGCTGCCACTACCGATATATACATTTGGTTTACATCTCTATTCACGTTTTTATTTCAATAAAAATAGTTTCGATAAGAGTTCTTCACATACTGAAAGAGAATTATTTCTGATAAGAAAGTCAAGAGTCTTACTTGGTTAATCAGAGAATTGATAACAAAATAAGTTAAACACTACAACACGATATATACGACTGATTAATTTACTTTTATATTCATCATATACATCGAACTATTAACATAAATTGATTTGACATCAATGAATTTATCCATTACAGATGATAATAATTTAATATGATGCAAACCTATTGTACTATTCAAGCATGTTGTAAAAATACTTTCTTTTTTTTTTTGGAAATTAATAACAATGTAACTCATGTGTGAAGAAAATAAATATTCTTTTATGATTTCTTCATCATGCCACATTGTAAACACTAATAACGAAGACTATTGGAGATTGTTCGAGAATTTTTGTTTTAATACTTTCAATTCAATACAAGAAATATTGTAATTCATAGAGAAAATAAAATCTATCGTATTGACTGGTTTTTATTAATTTACATAGAAGAAACATCAATAGTTTCCCATTTTATTTTTAGCATAAATTAATTATTTTTCTTTGTTAAACTGATGTCTGACAAATACAAAATAGATTTTACCAAAATAGATTTTCAGACTGTCATGTTCTGTTTTTCTCTCAATACAACTTTAAGATTAATCTTTGTTAAAAATAACCATTAACAATGTAAGAAATCGAAGTGGTTATAGAACTATGCTTCAATGCAATTTGAATATCGTAAAATAAAATATCCAAGACAACGGAATAATAGATTATCTTGTCTGTACGAATTTCAACAATAAAACAAAAATATTTCTTTTTTTTTCTTTTTGTTTTTCTTTTAATCAATTTCATAGATACAAGTATTTTATTTTCTATATGCATAAGAACAAGCAATAAACAAAAACAAAAAGAAGTGACACACAAGAACACATAAACCATTTTTTTTTAATCTAATCTATCTCAAAATCATGTAAAAAGAAAAGCAAAAATAATATTTAATTCGTTCAATCAAAGATTTGATCGATATTCAATTTTACCAAGAATTGTTGTATAAGCTGTTGGACGTGGTGGAATAGGTGGAGGTTTAGTTAATATATTATCATTATTATTATTATTATTATTATTATTATTATTTACTGGACTGAATGATAAACGTTTTTCTTGAATTTTAGTTGTCTCAATAAAATCATTATCACTAAGTGGTAATGAATGTTGTCGACGTAAATGATTAACACGTTTACACCAATACCATAAACCCATATTAATAAGAAATATTACAAATATCAAACCTAATGCTAATAAAATAATAAAATTCCAATTATATTCCCATGGAAAATTATATTTATTTGATGATGAAATTAATAATGATTTATTCGTTAAACTTGAATGATAAGCAAAAAATAAACAAATGATTATTCGTTTTTATTAATTTTTATTTCTACATACTTTGTATTATTATTACTATTACTATCGGATAGTACAATCAATGATGTTGTTGTCATTGTATTGAAATGATTATTATCAATTGTATTATTTGTTAGATTAATTTGAGTTAATGACATATTTATAGAAAAATCTTGTTCTTCAATAACGTTTTCTCGAATAAAACGCATCGTTTTATTTTAAAAAATGAAATGATTTTATACAAATTTGAAAAATAAATCATTAACGTTTAGAGAGACAAGCACGTGGTAATTTTTCTTTGCACGCCGTTTGTGAACGATCGAATATCATCATATATCATATGATTCTTTATATTTTTCGAATAACGATTTTATTTATACTTGTCAGATATAAAAGAAAAAACAAAACACAACAAAAATATCCGGCATTATACTTGTATAACAATAAAAAAAAAATAACTTTGGATATAGCGAGATTAAAAATACCTGGAAAATTTTATAATAATAAATAAAAGATCTCAACTGACTATATTCTGTTGAATTTTATAATAAAATGCTCGTGCAGTATTAAAACGATTCTTATAACATTTTTCTAATTCAACATATAATTCTTCTCGAGCATCATCATCGTTCAATCCGACCATTAATGATTCATATAATTGTTCATATTTTTCTTCTCCTAATGGTTTAAAACGATTTTTGTGTATACGTAAAGCATTAAAACAAGACCATATATGTTCTTTTATTGACTGCCATAATTGTGTAATAATTTCACTGTCGCTTTCACAACCGATCATTGCTAAAGAAAAATTTATTTTGAGGCTGTTATTTTTTGTTTTTGTGTTAATTAAATAATACAGATTCTTACCCATAAAAATATCTTCACCAAATGGTGAATGTGGTATATCCATAAAAAGACCAAATAATCGTTCGAATTTTGTCTTTTGACCAAATGCACAACCGAAATCTATATGTAGTATTTTACCATCATCAGTAAGCATAATGTTATCGTCTATAAAGAGAGTTTAAGAAAAATATTGTTCAAAAATATACTTAAAGAACATTGTTTATTTTACTCTTAAAGTGCGAAAAAAATTTTATGTAAACTTTTGCCAGATGTTTACTTTTGTTTTTAATACTGCAAGCATTTTCAGTAACTAAGTACTATGACCTTTCTATTTGACATAAACAAAATCACTCACAGTTATGCACCGAAACATGTGAAAAAAAAAGTGACGAAATATATAATAAAAAAGTTGTTGTTCATAATTTTCCTAATTATAACGGATACTAAAGTCTATATTAATCTTTAATAATAACAATAAGATATTATAGAGGATGATATGCATGATCAAAAGGATCTTTTTCATTGATTAATTATTTTATCATATATGTCAAATATTCGAAATCATTTCCATCAACTAAAATCTCATCTAGAGAACTGCTCGTTAGAAAAATTCGAAATTTTTATATCACATAAATGTCAAGCATTAGAGTATATGTTGTTAAATGTTAATACTAGAGAAATACTTTAATCCTTTTTAATTCTAGTTAGAGTCTGTTTTCCTGTAGAAGTCTTATATTTATTCAAATTTGAAGTTCGTCAATGTTAATTTCTCATGAAACATATGACAATTTTTATTTTTAGTCAAAAAACTAAAATTTTTCATTTTATCTATGAATAACAAGAAAAATACTTTACAATGTCGATCAGCTAATCGTAAAACAATTCCAGATATAACAAAACCAAGAAATGTTCGAAATAAATTCTTTTTTCGTTCAAATGATTGTTCAATAAATAATTTCAATGGATGTGTTGATGTTGAATCTTTATTTTCATCAACTCTTTTAAATTCAAGAAATGGATGTGCATTTTCAACACATTCAATAAGACCTTCAGATTCATCAACTGGAAGTACCTAAATAAAAGATAGAGTTAAGAAATAAATAACGACATCGATATACACGGTGACTTTGAAAATAATTCGATTAAGTTTAATTTCAATTTTTTTTTCGCTGTCGTCAATGCTAAGAAGAATCCAAATAATGATTTGAGCAGAGAATTTTCAAAAATAAAAAGAATTGGTAGTATTCCGAAGATAGATTCTGTGAAAATCCAAAAAACAAGTTTTTCAGACTTGCAATATACAATTCTGTTTCGACAATTCTCTAGAAAATAAAATATCGTCTTGCTTTCTTTAACGTTTTTTCACCAAGATACATTAACTTTACATAAGGCAGAAAATTGGAGTTTCCATACGAAATAACAGAGAAAAAAAACTACTTTTGTGCCTTCCGTAAAGTTTATGCATCATAATGAAAAAACACTGAAAGAATGCGAGAGACATTTCATTTTGTAGAGAATTGTTTGCTCTATCATTCTGAATAATTCAAACTGCATTGTGATTGCAAATTCTAGGAGCTGAAAAACTTGCTTTTTCAGAGATTCTATCTTCCTGTTAGAAATAAAATTCTCTGCTCAAATCATTGATTGAATTCTTCTTATCGTTGATGACAGCAGAAAAAAATTAAAACTAAATTTGGTCGTATAATTTTCGAAGCTACTGTATATTAGGCGGTTGAAAAACAGTTTAACACCAATATATTTTTGACCTTTTTCTCTATAATGTTAAGAACCTGGCTCAAATCTACTTAGTAATTTTTTATAGCCGATAAAATTTTCTATCCAATGTATCCCATATTCGAATTTCATAGATGAACAGTGAGCGGTGAGGCTTTTAAAAAAAAACTCGGACAGGATAATGTTCAAGTCTCAGAAGCTATTGTTTTAATAATGACATTTCACAGAACACGAAATTTTGAACAAAATGATAGATCGCCGCATTTTCTATGATCTTCTCTTAAAACCTCAAAAGTATCACAAAAATCGAAAAAAAAACGACATTTTTTACCGATGTTTTGATAAATTTTGGTTTTTTCGATACTTTTAACTTTTTAAGGAAAGGCTGTAGAAAATGCGACGAACTCTCATTTTGTTTAGAATTTTGTGCTCTTTAAAATTGTTTGGTTAAAAATAGTTTCTGGAACCTGAAATATTGTTCATCTATGAAATATGGGTATAGAATGCATTGGCTATTAAAATCACTATCGGGATTTAAGTTTGATACTTAACATTATAGAGAAACAAAAATAAAAATACATTGTTGTTAAACTTTTTTTCCCTAACTGACATGTCTTACTTCATATAGAACAACTTCTGCATCAACATGTTCTTCTTTAAATATATGATTCATTTCTTTCATAACAGCAACACACATTGCATCTTGTAATAAATCATCACCATGTTTATAAATACAACTAAAAAATTTAATTTTTTTATTATTTTCAAAAAGAGAGAGAGAGAGAGAAAGATAATATCTCACGTTTTTGTATTTCCTTGACGATCAATAACAGTAAATTTTAATGGTTTTCCTTTTGACGGTATAAATGATCCATCACGTAATTCAACGACCATAAAATCTGGTGATGTTGGTAATAAAAATGGTACAGGTACTTGTGTTAAATCAGGTATTTTACTATCACCAGATTTTGTCATTTGAGAAATTATTGCAATAGCATCATGTGCAATACGTATAGGTGCACAATTATCTAATATACGTTGACATAGTTCTGTATGTTTACGATAATGACATGACCAATATAAACGACTACAATCAGCATCTGAAAGTGTTTTTAATGCTTGAAGTAAATTACGATCAGAATGTTCCACTAAACCCCATAGAAAAAATGGATCATGAATATTAACAATATTTGTTGACTCATGAGTTTGTTCTTCATATTTTATTTCATCAACATTATGAATGGGAACATTTAAATCAAGAATCGGCATATTAATTGTATAGAGATCTTAATAAATTAATCTGACTTATATAAAAAAAAATGAAAAAAAAATGAAAAGTTTCAAAGAATCGTATGCTTTATTGTTTTTTAAATTAATTACAGAAATCTCAATTAAAAAAAAAATAAATAAAATATCACGATTTTTTTTCTTGTTTAAATACAAATTTAGGCAAAAATGAAAACAAAATATCATACG